GGAATATTGTTATTAACTAAAACTATATTTACTAATAATATATTTAAAAGCTTATTACAGTCTGAAGACCACTGACTATTTTAAAAGAATTTCGATTTATTTTTATACATGCATATAGATGTGGAATTTCTGAAGAATAGATGTACAAACCGATAAATTTATTCTTAAAAGATTGTCCTCCACTTAAGAGAAAAAAAACCTAATGAAATCTATCGTCTACTACACCATACTTTACTATGAACACGTTCGGCTGTCAATCTGTCGTCAATAAATTGATTAACACGCCAGAAAAACAAGACCTCGTTGTTAGGAAGTGCTTGTATACAACATTTTATGCTGTAAGTAATAAGTGTTTTAAATCAGATTAACTTTAAATTTGCAAATTTTCCTCAAATAACGTTTCAGAAATATATATTTTATTTTTACAAGAATTTTAAAACGAAAAATTAAGTTTTGTTTACAAATGTCTAAAAAATGGCTACCGTTATGATTTTACTGAAAGAAAAACGCAAGTCTATTTCAATCAATATAATTTATGTCTGAAATACACCAAAGTATCTTGTTTACCGTGTATAGTAAATTTAATCCTTTAGCTTTCAGTTAAAGCTAAATTGAAAGCTTCAGGAAAACTTTTTCATTTTTAAAAAAATCATTTTAAACGTTACATATACCCAAATCGTGGAAATATATATTTTGTTTAGGTTTTTAATTTATTGTTCCTTTAAAATTTATTGAAAATAACGCATCGGAATATGCTTTCGTTTTTGTTCGTTATTTTAATTACTAGCTGAAAACCGAAAGGGATTTTAAGCGGAAGTCTTGGATGCAGAATTAGGTTTTCTTAAGCGATCACGGATTTCAACGCCATATTTACTGAATCCCGTGAAGCACAAATACACGAAAGAAATGCAAGCAAATAAAAAGTGAAGTATGTAGACGTAGAAACATTGGGAAGCATAGACATAGCAAACAGGTACAAAATAATAAAAGAAATATATCAAGAGATGCCCCTCGACAGGATGCATTAACACTAAAAGAAGACACATGGCACAGTGGATAAAGGCGTTGGTTAGATCCAGTGACAGGACCCAAAGAGTGTGAGTTCAATACCCGGTTAAGGCAGTGGAGAACTTTCAGAGGGAAATTAACAGGAGATAACTGACATCCATCAAAACATGGCACGTGGAACTAGTAACGTCTACCCCAGTGAGCGAAATAAAGGGTTCAGTTCGAAATTCCAACCACCTGAAGAATGCCGGAGCGTACAACGACCGAAACGTTGTAATAAATATGGCGACAAAGATGAGGACAATAGTCCGAATAATGTAAATCTCAGAAATATAGACAGACACTAAAAGAAGTGCTCACAATAGAAAAAGACATATTTGGAGATTTTTTACAGTGATGTTCACACTCTACAAGGCCTGGAAACTACGCAAGGTTACAGAGTAAGATGCACATGGGGATATGTAAAGAAGATACCGGTTAATCATCGACTTGAACAGGTTAAGATTGTAGTCATCGGGAAAAACCCTCTTGGGAGTCGGTTCTACAGAGTAAGCGTTCGCAGAAAGAAACTGTCCGAGTGGAACTTATATCTCACCAATGGAATACGAAGGTAGTTTGGTACAATGCGAGTGGAATGGCGGGTCCTAGGCGTGAAGGTTAGAACTGGTCGAATTAAGGAATATAGTTCGTCTGATGGAACGAATAAATAGGAGAACTCTTCCACAATAACAGAGGAGAAAAACAAAATTTACGTGAGAAAACATGAAAGGACATGCAGTAATCTGAGGTAAGATCAGTTATGGACAAGATGAAAAAAAAAAGAAAAAATGCAACGGGATCAGATGGAATTTTAATAGAGGTGCTATCAGTCTTAGACGATTTCGAGGATTGACAAGATTAAGGAAATAATCGATAGTGGGGTTATATTAAAAGATATCTGTAGAATTTATCTTGACAAAGATGCAAAAGAAGCCAGAAGCAAATGAATGTGCATCCGGGGTACAATCAATTTAATGTTTCACACAACAAAGCTTACAACTGTGGTTAAAATAAACGTTGGACAGATTAGACCGGAAATAGGAAAAGAACAGTGTGGCTTCGTTCAAGATTGATTGATTGATTTTTTATGGCTTATCAACCTTTTAAATTATTTATTTATTCAAAACCAGTAAATATTTTTAGATTGCAAGAAATTTTTGGAGACAATAATTATTTAGACTGACCCATAGTTGCGGGAGAAGACGTGGATTCGTACCTAAACAGAATGTGATAAGAAATTAAGATGTGGATATAAAGTGGGGGATTAATTCTGTATCACAATCAATATATAAACCGATCACTCACTTTGTGGCTGCATTAGTTTCTGTACTTTTATATTCCAGAGAATGTAAATAAATCTAAAATGCATGTCTGTGTCGTTAATCAGTATTTGATTTATTGATTGATTCGTTCTCTACGGCTTATCAACCCTTTGAAGGTTATTTAAAACTAGAAAATATTTTTAGATTGTAAGAAAGTTTTGGAGATAATGATTAACTGATAAAAGTCCTACTTATTAATCCATATTTGAAGGAGAGAAAAGGCGCATTCATATATTTGCCACGTAAGAGAATATAAGGATCTCAGCTCTAATTGGAACTTGACTCTCAATTTCCAATTCCGAACCGGTATCTATCACACCACCCGCACATCCAAGCTTACAGTACCTGGTATTCTCAAACAGTCATCCTTCATTTCATTGGTCAGATTCAACGCTGCGTGACTTTGAGGGATTACCCCCACTTACTTTACTAAAAAGTTCGTCGCTAGGGGACGCTCCTTAAGCCTATGAATAGAAAGTGACATTCTCTGTCATCCTCTCTTTTGTTTTTTCTTTTACGCGTTAAGATGTACGTTGCACATGGAAAAAAACGTCCCACACCAGCGTATGTACACATAAACACACGCACACACGTACCTTTCACTTCTGTGTATGTATTAACAAAACATAGATATACATAGGAAATAGAATATTGTTGCGTATGGCAAAACAATGAATATGAAAGAAGAAAACATTTAAACTAGTGGAGGTGTTTGTGTAGATGTAAGTCCTAGAGAAAAGTAAATGAAAGTTACAATGAAGTAAAAAGTACATGCGTGCATACGTGCGTGCATACCTCAGTTTGGGACGCTTTTCTCCATGAGCGACCTACAGCTTAAGGTGTACGTGAAAAATAAAAAGGAGAGGATAACAGAGAATGTCACTGTCTATTTATAGGCTTAAAGAGCGTCCCCTAGCGACGGCTTTAATAAAGTAAGTGGGGCTAACCCAATTTCAGTGAACCAATGTTTCAACGTGATATGGCCATAAGCAGTTTGTTGAAGACACTGGAACAAGAAATGTTATCTTTAGGTTCAGAATCCTATCAGAGCGAGCAATAAAATTACAAAAAGATCTATACCCATACTTTATAGAGAGATAATTTAAAAGCATTTGACAAAATACAACAGAAAAATCTATTGGAATTGCTCGGACAACTAGCTTTTATAAGAAAGATATGAGAATAATAAATTACTGGAAACAAAACGAAAGAAAATGAGTTGTGTAAGTGTACAAAAATAAAAAGAATAGAAAGGAGGACGTTTAAATAATTGCAACATTATGGTCTAGCTCCCTGAAACCGTTTTGTACATGACTTTCCTTGTACGATACACGT